CAAAACTTAGTCTTCTTATGAGTGTGTGGGTTAAATCTGCTATCTATAAGTCATACTATTGAATTTCCTTAATCAACTGAGTAATATGGTTTTTTCAACATAGCCTTCAAAGGTAGATAGTTTATTCATTCTTTAAAAAATATATTTTATTGATTTTTTACAGAGAGGAAGGGAGAGGGACAGAGATCTAGAAACATTGATGAGAGAGAAACATTGATCAGCTGCCTCCTGCACACCTCCCACTGGGGATGTGCCCGCAACCAAGGTACATGCCCTTGACCAGAATCGAACCTGGGACCCTTCAGTCCACAGGCCGACGCTCTATCCACTGAGCCAAACCGGTCAGGGCAAAAGGTAGATAGTTTAAAAGGTTTTAGTTAAGCCCTGGCCAGTGTGGCTCAGTTGGTTGAAGTGTCATCCCATACACTGAAAGTTCGCTGGTTTGATTCCCAGTCAGGGCACATACTCAGGTTGAGGGAATAGGAGGCAGCTTATTGATGTTTCACTCTGACATCGATGTTTCTCTCTCTCTCTCTGTTCCTCTCTCTCTAAAATCAATAAAAAGCATGTCCTCAGGTGAAGCCTAAAAAAAGTTTTTATTTAAAAAGTTCATTAGATCAGATTTGGCTGATATGCTTCTCTATTTTAACTTAATTCTCTCTTACTCTAACACCTCCCTTTATCCCAGTTCTTTTGTTTTTAGATCAGTGATTCTCAATCTTTTCTTTTGCTCCTGCAACTCACTGAACAGATTTTTTTACAGTAACTATGACTCACTACAGAATTGATTCTCAATAATAAAAAAATTTTTCTTCGTTTTAACAGAATTTTAATGTAATGCTGTTTTAAATACAATGAAATCAATTCCTTTACTACTAACCTTCCAAAGACTTTATATGTCCATGCGCTGTCAGCGTTCTAAAGGAATATTCAGTATATGCTGTTTCCCAAACTTAAATGATCAAATTTCACACCTTACCCCTTTGTTCCCTCCAGTACCACTCCAGGCACACATTAGATGATCCCTTCAGGATATAATAAGTTCTTAAATCTGCAGAGTCTTTGACACAAAGTTTAAGTTGTTACACGGTAAAGATGTTTGTTTATTCAGCGGTATTATCTAAAAAGTGAAAATGCATGCATATTAGAGACCAATTAGCTAAAAATTAATGAAGTACACTGCAGGAAGCCGCCCATTGTCTTCACTAGCAGAGAAGTGCAAACAAGGATCCCAGAATGCTGGTGAACCTTGAACCCATGGCAAGGGCCAGAGTTATGCACTGATTGTCTAGTCCTGACAATGGGGGCTCAAGCTATTTCCTGATCAAATACAGAGTAAATCCTTCTAATATTTACTGACCTTTAAGATAGTCTGTCTGCTACCACAATTGCTTGCCTGATTAAGGGCTTTATGTGTATCCAAAGTTGAATAAAAGGTTGGCGAAGCCTGGGCACCAGTGGAAGTCCTTCCCCTTGAGTTGGGCTTGCCCATCTGGCCCCCCAATATTTCCAAATTATCTCTTGTCTCGTCTCTTTCATTTGCTTGAAGCCCCTCCTCCAGATCCTGAACCCTGAACCATGCAGGACATGGGGGAACATACACAGTACACACTATATCTTAAGGCAGATCTCATGCCCACTGTCTCTTGAAGCTCATACCCAAAGAAATATTCAAATATTACTCAAAAATTATTGGTGTACTGAAAAAATCGCAAACACTTCCACTTAGCTGTAGTCACACAATGAACATCCTATGAGTGTTTTTTTCTGTGATCTGGTGTATACATGGGCAGAGCAGATTTTTAAATCATGGGCTATATTTATCCACTATCAACAAAATAGGGAAATGGAGCTGAACCTAGTCTTTTCCTTCCCTCCCTATAATTTCCTCTGTTTCTAATTTTGTAGCAATCAAGTTTCAACTAGTTAATCAAATGTCTTTTGTGTGGCAGGTGCCAGGGTGTTTGTTTTCATTAGTGTACCAAATGCCATATTTAGGAACTTGGCCTTTTGGTTAACTGACTACAAGCATGGCTTTAAACCATTAAATGTGTTTATTTAAACTGTGCATGTATTTTTACATCTCCCTATCCAAATAATCAGGATGTGGTTATCTGTAAGATGATACATTAGGACGTTTTTCCTATATACACCCAAGCACAAAAATATATGCCTCAGACATAATCATCAATATGGTAAACACCATCATCCTGTGCCATTTATAAGATCGCAGAGATGGAGAAACCAGGTTAGGAAAATGTGCATAAAAATAGTTAAAGGAAATCCACATGGAAAGGCTTATAAAATTGGGCAATTTTATACTTTGTAACCTGTTTTTAACATGATAAAAAATGAGGAAAGGAAAACATCACAATTGTGGTTTATCTTTGATTGAATGAGAGAACTATTTTAAAGAGAGAGGGAGATGCCAGAAATATGAACTAATTTTTAAAATAGTTATGTTTTTTTAATATATCTTCCTTTTTATTCAGGAAAATCAAAGAGATAACAAAATCAGAAGGAAAAAAGTATGATTCAGTGCTTGGTTTTTTTGAAGGCATAGATAATGCAGTTTTTGGATGGTATTTTTACCAGATTGTTGCATTCTTTCTTGTTATTTTTCTACTGTCTCAATATAGGGACATAATCATGATTTATTCTTTTGATACTTACCATAAAACTCAGTTCAAATATCAACTTTTTAGGAAGAGAACACAGAATTTACTGTCCGTTCCCAGAAAGGGTAGAATACAGAGAAGCAGTTGTGACTAACAGTGTATGACAAGATTCCAAAATAGATCAATTGGAGGTATAATGAAGAACTAGTTTAGAGTGCATTACATGAAAATTAAGATTATCTGTGACAAATAAATGTTAAGGACAATGCTAAAGTATTTTATCTTCGTTTTCAGTCTGTATATACATATGCATGGTTAATACAGATGCTACTCTGTCTATATAAAACACTTATTTGCCTATTTTCTCCAACATAGCATTTATTACTAAAATCTACTGAGGTTTCATATAACAATATTTTAAGGAAGTGTCATAAAGAAAATCTTGGATCATACCAAAAAGAATATAGTTGCTAACGACATATTTAAATATATAATATCTCATATATGTTCTTTCACTTATAAACTATAAATACTACATGAAATAAAAAGGTTATACATAAATGAATCCAACTCTCTCAAAGCTCTTATGAAGTGAGAACTACTCCTGACTTCACAAGCATGGAAAATAAAGCTGAAGTAGGTTAAATGGCACACACTCAAGGTCACACTATCACTAAAGCAAAAATGAGACACAAATCCAGTTATGCAGATCCATCCTAGAACACCTTTCTTTTTTCTCCACATGATTTTTTTAAGGGAAATAGGAGTTTACTGAGACTTCTCATTCATAGAGATGGACTGGGAGGCTTCACAGTGCCATGCTAGGTGGCGAAGGCAAGCCTATTCTGTTGTAACTCGCAGCCCATGATCTTCCTTCTCCCATTACCAGTGGCCAAACTGGCAGTCAGCCAATCTGATATAGACCTTAGATATGCTTTAATTGGATGTTATAATGGTTTTTAATGTAAAAAAGTCATAAATGTATAAAATACACGTCTTTGTGCTTACCATACAGACACACATATGTATGCTAAGTTCCTTATGTTTCCTCCATAATCTTGTTTGCTCCTCACTCCCGCCGTGGCGATCATAGTCATGAATCAAATTCCATTAGTTTACACTTTAGTTATATGTATAGATTTCTAAATATGTGGAATTACTTTGTGTACTTCCAGTTTAGGTAAATGGTAGTATGCTATATGTAATGTTCTATAAAATCTAATTTTCCTCAAAACTATATTTTTGAAATCCATGAAATATTTAGGTCATTTAACAGCAGATACATATATGTTTAAGTCATTTGCTTTAAGTCCATGTTAGGAATATACCTCAGTTGATGAATCCATTTCCTCTTCAGTAGGTTAGTTGGGTTGATTCTAATTTTTTAAAATATGTTTTTATGATTTTTAGAGAGAGGGAGAAGGAGAGGAAGAGAAAGATAGAATCATCTATGAGAGAGAAACATCATCAATTGGCTGCCTCCTGCACACTCCCTACTGGGGATCAAACCCACGACCTGGGCATGCCCTGACCAGGAATAGAATCTGACCTCCAGGTTCATAGGTCAACACTCAATCACTAAGCTACATAGGCCAGGCTAGTGAGATTCTAATTTATTACTATTCTAAACAATGAGGCTATGACCTTTCAGATATATGTCTCTGTATAAACTTGGGCTCATTGTTACTAATTTTGTGTCTAGTTGTAGAATTTTATTAGTCAGAGTTATTTAAATTTTCCAAGAACTGATTTTTATATGCTTTGAAAATATATATCACTTTTAATTTGTTTTTATTTTGTTTATTGTATCTTATCATACAGAATTTTTCAATTTTGATATAAATTTTGCTTAAGAAACCCATATAGATATAGATATAGATGATATAGATAGATATAGATATAGATATAGATATAGATATCAAGGACCTAAAGATATTTCCTATTGGATCTGTGGTATCTATGACATTTTTAATTTAAATGATTTTACACAAAGCATATCCTCTTTGGTTCACACAAACCTCACCAGATCATTCTCTCATACCGGACCAATTTTACACATTTCCCCTTAGGTACATGAGGCTGTAATCCCAGGATTAGACAGTCAAGAATAAAATTATACAGTAGATTTCTCAGACTGGGGTTACTTTGAATTAAATTAATATTATAGCTGTACAACTCCAATCTACATTTCCATGGAAATGAAGCCATGATAGAATTCATTCTGAGAGATTGACAGCTTCTGTTAACTGTTATTTAAGTTTTACAATGTAGAAGTTGAATAATTTAGTTTATCACCTGAATATAATATGCTTTATAGGAGTTTTGTTTCCTATATTCATATGCCAAACCAGTGATGTTAACCCTGATGTATGTGACCCTTAGATGCTGGACTGGAGGTCAGCAAGTGCACATTTTATCCTGGCTGTGACATTGATGCTGTGGAGCTCAGGAAAGGTGCTGTCAGTGGATGCAGCAACTGAGGTAATGGGAACTAGCTTAAGGGACCAAATATATTGTCTATGAATATAAGCCATTTCTATTAATGTCATACTTTTATGACTTGGATGAACTACAAAAGGGCACTATATGCAACAGATGAATAAACAAACAGGAAAATTTACATGGAGCAACAAAGTCATTGGGAAAGCTTGGAATCGTTGTAAACACTCATTAATAATATTTGTTAATAAAATCACATGGATGGAAATGTAAGTCCCTTAGGGCAGAGACTACTAGATTTTGTTCATTTTTGTATCCCTTAGTTCTAATGCAGTATATAGTGAATGCTTAGGGCTTGAATCAATAAGAAGTGACTGAGTGATGAAAAAACAGCATGAAGTTTAGTGTTTTCTGAATTAATTCCATAAAAATTGATCAGTACTAACTATGAGAAAAATTTATTGAGTACTAACTATGAGCAAAATACTGGGGTAGGCATTGAATAGAGCCAATAAAAGACCAATTAGACATAGTCATTGCCCTCAAATTACTCACAATCTAATATGCATTACAAATATATTGTAATAAATCCAATACAAAGGAAAATGTAATGACTGTAAGAATCAAAGTATAGCTAAAATGCTATGGGAATGATAATAAAGGAAACAGTTGTTACAGGAAAAGAATCCAAAAGAATGATCCATTAATATACTAAATTTGAGAGGCAAGCATGGAGCTTTGTTTAGGGGTGTGTGTGTGTGTGTGTGTGTGTGTGTGTGTGTGTGTGTTGTTTTTCTTTAATTTTTGTTGGGTATACCTCACCTCTATATGTTTTTATCCTCAAAAGTCTCTCTGGATCATAACTCCATGAGAAATCAAGTTTCATGACAGGCATGTCAGACAAATATAGCAAAAGTCAAATGCATATGATTACACATGTTTGAGGTGAATAGAATCACCTTTCTTGCCCGATAGGCTTTTGATGTGGGAATCAGAGATGTGCAGTCACCACCCACAGCCAGGGAAGAAAAATCAGCAGCTGATCTGGCAGCAAAACTCATGCTTCTTGATGAACTTGTGTCTCTGGAGAATGATGTGATTGAAACAAAGAAGAAAAGGGGCTGCTCTGGTGTTGGGT